TTCATTATTAATCTATATGACTCCTACATAAAAAAAAAACGTATATATTATTAAATTATTATTATAAATTTTGCAAATATCAAATATAATTAAGCACTCACTTCAAATATTTCATTTCTTGATACTTCAAGTCTACAATGTCCACTTTGAGGTTGAAGAGCATTTAATTCTGCTCTCAAACATTTTAATTTTGCCACTAGATCTCGTTTATATTTCGGCAAAAGCTCATTATCCATTAGTTCCTTTGGTAATTCTGATACAGTTTGAGCATTTTGAGCCGATGTATTTTCCACTAAAATAAATATATTAGATAATTTAATAAATATTAGATATTATAAAACCAAAAAATTAATATTAAGAAAATATATTTTTATTATAAAAATATAATATACATAAAATGATTATAATAATATAATAATGTACTTTAACAAATAAGATTTTCCAAAAGTGAAAGAGCATTTGAATAAAACTGTTTAATAATAAAAATTAAGATCAAACAAATAGATGTATTAATATGTTGTTTTATTTCTATTGTCTATTGCATTATTGGTCTATATTGCATTAAATAGATTATATAAATAACTATCTATGATTTAAATAATATCAGTAATATAATATAACTCAATTTTATAATATACTCTATATTCATGTTACAAATTTAACTTTATAACTATAATATTAAAATAAAAATTCTTACATGTTGGGGAGTTATTATTACTTCCATTCTCTGTTCTTGATCTTTGCTGGACAATATTGCATTGAATACTTGGAGATGCAGATGTCTCTATTTCTGTAGATTCATTTATAGTTGCCGAATTATTTGAATTACTCGTTGTTTGATTAGTATTATTTTGTCGTCTACTATGATAAAAATATAATTTTATAAATTAAATAATTGTGAATTAAAATGTTTTCATTTTTTTAACTTACTTTAATAAATTGCTTATGATTTGACTGGATAATCTTGGATCAGTAAATTGTGTAGTTCTATTATTATGATCTACAAAATAAACACGACCACTTTGAGTCTGTCGCATTTCCCATCCGCTTGGTAATGGTCCAAGTTCATTTGCTAATTCATTTGCTGGTAAATCACGAGGTATTCTAGGATCGTGCCACGTAGATGATCCCGTTGGTACATGATAAAAATATACTTGACCTTGTTGCGTTTTTCTCATTTCTGCAATATCCATTTATTTGACAATTTTTTTATTCAATTTATATATTTATATATATCAAAATTTTTTAATTTTAATACTCACCATAACCTCTCGGTAAATCTGGTGGTTGTGGAGGATCATATCTCCTTTCATTATTAATCATTACACTATTTCTATTTCTATTACTCCGATTAGGCCTTCGTGGTTGAGCATTGTTAATACTACGATCTGATCTAACATTTCCATTTTGATTACCATTTTGTTCATCATTTGCTCTAATTGGTCGTCGTTCTCTTGATGAAGCAGGTGTTACATTTCTTGTATTATGTTGATTTTGTTGTGTATTTCTATTTTGCTGTTGAGTAGGTGTATTTCTTGGAGTATTTGGAGTAGAACTATCTCTGCTAGGTGTTCTACTAGGTGTTCCATCCCCATTCCATTCAGGTGTGCACCTGGTAGGACTTTCAGTTCTTAAATTAGGAGGACTTCCACTGCCACTGGGAGAAGTAGGTTCAGAAGAAGGTAATGGTGGTGGTTCAGGTGTAGTTGGTATTATACCATTGGTAGGTCTATTATAATAAATTAAAATGTACATTATAAATAAATTTAGTCACATAAAAAGAAAAAATTTTTAAAAAATAAAACTTACCGTGCATTTGGACGAATCCATTGTGTAGTTCTAGTATAATGGTTGACATAATAAAGTCGACCACTTCGAGTTCTTCTTTCTTCCCATCCATCTGGTAAATCAGTTGGACAACTCAGATCTCCAAGAACATCAACAACTGCATTATGACCCACTGTATTACTCACAGCACCATTATGACCATCTCGTGATAAAAGAGATACTACAACTTCTCCTTTAACTACATCTGTGTCATCTGAATGTGCTTTACAAAGATCTAATCGTTGATCTATAAAATAATTAAATTTAAAAATTAAATATATTATATTATATATTATGTTGATGGTTCAATATACTAAATTAAATATACTAATAATACATAAATAAAATTCAAATTTTAAATAAATAAAATGATAATTACATCCTGTATCCTTGAGTCTTTGAATTGTATTAGATAATATTCGTACACATCCTAAAAATCCTCCACCTTTTTTTTTATGGATTTTTTTATGATTCCAAACTGATATAGTAATACCATCATCTTTTCCAATGTACCTGTAGAATATTAAGAATTCATGTAATTTTATACATAGAAAATTATATTTATATTATAATTAAAAAGTAATTACAGATCATAATGTTGATTCCACATGGGATCTAGAGTTGCCTTGCATGTATGTGTACTATGACATTGACCTGAACCATCAACAGTTATTTTAGCAAAAGGATCCGGTAGGCCTGAAATAAAATTTTTATTTTAACAATATATTTTTTTACAACATACGTTTTTTTCAATATAAAAAATACTCACGAAATAGATCTTTTCTGGCAAGATTACGGGCACATAAAACTGTAAATATACATAATCAATATTTAAGTTTATATTGACTAATATATTTTTATGATATAAATAATAATCAAACACACACGCGCATCCATAATAAGAAGAAAATAACATAATAATAATTTATAGAATAATAATTTTATAGAAAATAAACTCATAACATATATAAATTTTATCTTCTTGGTATCTAATTTTATTATTTGATACTTTTTGATGAATATTAGATAATAATATATAATTTAATCAAATTAATAAAGATTTATACAAAAAAAATTTTTTATTATAAATCTTTCATTATAAATGATACAATGATACTAGTCATTAACATTTAAAATCAACTTTGAAATGAAAAATATTAATCATATATTCGTTTAAAAAATATTAAAGCTTTTCATCAGTACTAAATGTCTGACATTTGTTAATTAGGCCTATTCACATTTGATTATGAGCTCGGTAATATACTCCATTGAATCAATTAACAAGAAGCATTTTTTAAATAAAAAATGTTGATAACATATCAACATTTCTGGTTGTCGTTAATTATTGAGAGAGAATCAATGCGAATATGACAAGTTCACCAAAATTAACATCTTGTCTATGGTCTCCCGGAGTGCTCACGGTGGGGTCTTGACCTCTGATAGGGAGTTGCCATAACCAAAGGACGAAAACCCTAGTGAAATCTTTTTGCGTATTTTTCTTTTCATACTAATTGAGTAATATACGATATTTATAACAATTCTGATGTTATTCAAAAACAGCCTCCTGTAAAGATTATAATAGGACTACATAAGGGACACATAACAAATCAAGATGAAAAAGATCACAACGCGTGTTGGCTGTCGGCCGACTTTCACGCTCCTCTCTCATTAGATTCATCATCTTTTCTTAATAAACTCACTCGTCAAACGAATCTTCATGGCCCCGTTCCTCTTGCTACCGCCCGGATTCGACATTTTCCACGCACATTTAACGCTTTCTACCGAACATCGGCACTCTAATTAGTAAATAAAACTGCTGCTCGAAGCGGCGGTGCAATCTGCACACACGCAACTATGCACAATCGATTTGCAGTTGTTCGATCTTACCGACGGTATCGACTCAAACTTTTATCGATTCAAGCGTCTCGAAATATATCGAAAGCAAATTGCGATCTATTAGATTGTTACGATTAAAATAAAATCGCAAATTTATTATATAATAATATTTATATAGAATTAATTCATAAATATATTTTTTTATATCAAAACGAAATTATTAATACAATATAATAAATGTTTTCTATAATAAAATTACTTCCCACACAATATAATTTCATGATATTTCAAAAAATAAATTTTTATTTAAGTACATTATAAACTTTTAAAATTTTTATTTTTTTAAAAATTCGTTTAATATTAAAATGAATATTTATCTAATATTGAAGAAAAAAAATATATTTTTCTTAACAAAATCTCATTTAATGTAAAACATATTTAAAAAAAAATTAAATACAATAATTTATTTTATCGAATTATATATTTTAATTTTACACGTTATATTATTTTAATTATATTTATTTATTTATATTTTATTAAAAATTTTTTTTTTGATATTCTTAAAAATCAATGATTAAATCAATGATTAAATTGAATATCAATAAGAATATTATAATGTTTACAAAAGATTGATTATTAATATAAAATGATAAAAAAAAAAGAGAATATAATTTACATAGTTCGTGATCATAGCTTAATTTATGTGCAACAATTATGATTACAATGCTTTCACTGGCCTTATGCTACATTAGAAAGGAAGTACTGCTTCTAAAAGAATAATAAAATTTTTTCTAAATTTTAAATTTTTCTAATTTTCTAATTAAAATTCTAAATTTTAAATGCATTTTAAATGCTTTAAATTTTTAATATTTTGAATTTGAAATTAAAAAATATATAAATAAATATTATTTACAGTTTTTTATTTAATATTAATTGATGTAGTTTTATGATAATAAATATTAAAAAAATTAAGAAGAAATTTTTTTTCGAAGAAGTATAAATCGAGAAATTATTATTATAAATGAAAATTTTATGAATATAATATAAAAATGAAGTGAAGATTTTTATATTATTGTCCTTATAATAATAAATTAAAATTATTATAAAATATGAAGAAAATTTAATCAAACATGATACAATTACAATTAAAAATTAAAGATAAGCATTAATTAATATTAAACATTATTTAAGTAAAGTGAAAATCTAATATATTAATGATACCTTAAAAAATTAAATCATTTCAAATATGTCTATAATGACATATTTATAGTATATTTAATAATAATAATAAATTTAAAATTTTTGGTTTTAAGCTTTCAAATATATTGCATTATACGATACGATTTTAATAAAAATTATTTAATTATCATAATATGAAAAAAATCTTTCTAAAGACAAATTTTTGTTTTAATTAATAAACACTATATGAATCTTTTCTTCTATTTATACTTCATTTTGCTAATAATAATGCTTATAACATTCATCTTATTTTTTCTCGAAATTTTCCAGATTTTATTAAACAAATTTTAATTCTTTCGATTTTTAGCAATAATTTATTAAAACGAAATTATTATTCATTTTTTATCATCGTATCTTTAAAAATGAATCGATAATTATATGGTCCCTGATATTATTTAAAATATTTTGTATTTTAATTTCCTCGGAATGCAAACACTGCATCTACCAAAAACAAAATTCCTTGAACTATACTGATGCATCCTTTAGCGATACCAGTATTACGAAAATTCCCTCGGTAGACTGCGTTTATGAAGTGATCAAGGATAAGAGCACCAGCAATGATGAACAAGATGCAACCGACTATAGAGAAAAACAAATCCTGCAAATCAAAAATTTCATAATTATCATTTTACAAATATATATAACTTTTTGATTTTTTTCTTTTCATGTAAATAAAAATTTATAAAAAAAGATTAAAAGAACATAATGGTTTAAATAGATTTTTTTAATTTATGATTATCGTATGACGAAGAAACTATTAATATTTCTAAATTAATAATGATAAGTTATTCCATATATGAAATCAAAAATCTACATTATGAAATGATAAATTCATAATACAAAAATTATTTTTAAAAAGAAAAATATTTCTGAAATTTTATAATATATTTAAAATTTTAGAAACAAAATTGTAATATTTTAAATATAATATATTATGAGAAAAAAATTCCAAAAAATTTATTTATTTTTTATATTTTAATAATAATGATCATTATAAATTGTTAAATTCATTTTGATAACCATTTTCACTTAATGCAAAAAAATATATTATAACTATCAACTTAAATATAAACATTTCATCGAAAATCATCATAAAAGTATAGAAAAGTATAGAAAAGTTTTGTAGTATAATAGATAAAATATCTTGATATAATCTTGATATTGATACTGAATATTTGATAATGAATTTAATTTATTTAATTTATATTAAGAAAAAAAATAGTATCAAGAAAAATGTTTATTAAGTTATTTTATATTTTATTTTTATATATATCCAAATCTACATAGTAATATAGTTATAGCTATAGAAAATAATTTATAAAGTATTACAAATAACTTATTATCATTTTGTTTATTCATTGTAATACTATTATTGCAATATTAATTGAAATATAATATGAAAATATTATAAAATATTTAGTTATAAAAATATATTTTTACTGTGATTCTAATAGTTTTAAAAAAAATATAAAAAATATAAAAATAATTTTAAAAATATAGTTTAAAAAAATCATAAAAAAATAAAAAAATGTATATAAATAATATTTTTTATAAAAAAATTCGTATAAAATTATTCAAATATAATTCTGATTTACCAAGCGATGATCAATAGTAGCTCCTAGGATAATTCCAAGACATATTCCCACGAGGATAATTAAATATCCACCAAAAGTACCCATTGTAATAAAAGCACTGGTTAAACTACTATCACTAAAGGAATGATAATGTAATCCTATAAGAACGCATACTATTATCTGAAAATAATAAAAAAAGAGAAAAATATAAATGGTAAATAAACAAAGTAACAAATACGATTAAAATTTATTTAAAAGTATATATTAATTCCAATAATACAATATCTTTTTATTTCAATATTTTTAAACTATTGCATATATTCATAAAATATATTAATATAAATATTAGTAATGTTATGCTATCATTTAACAGATTATATTAAATTTTCAATACTTCACATATAGTTTTGAAACTATATTGTCATAAAAAATTGTTGTTTATTCATTTTTTGAATTTGAATTAATTGTAAAAATTCTATTATTCGATAGTATATATCTAATGCAATAATTTCTAATGCAATAATATCATTAACGCAAAAATTCTGAATTTTTTTATTTACAATGTTATATAATCTAATATAATCAATATTATAAAATAAAGCCAAACTATAAAAAGTTATAAGTTATATATTATAAATGATTTACTATATAACTAAAATGATTAAATTAACGAAATAAATGCAAATAGATTCCATTAATACCATAATTAGAATTCTATGATCGTACTCTAAGAAGAATTTTTTTCAAGAATATAAATTTTGAACAGAAATTTATGTACATCATGATTGAATGTATAAAAATAGACGAAACAAATAAATATATAAGTATATACATCAATATCATTATAAATAACCTATTAAAATTCAATTATCGTGCTTTGAATAAAAAATCAATTCTATTGCAAGGGTACAAATTTTGAACAGAGATCCAATAATTGATGATAAACGCTTCTTCATAGAAAGTATTCTCTCGTCATTCTTAATGTTACATTCATAATACGTTCTGAGCTCTGTTCATCATTATATATTAGTAACATTACGTCATATATTCAATTTCAAACTTGATTCAAAATAAATTCTTGAAATATTCTATTCCTTTTTCTTTTTAATAACAATAATTCAATGTTTTAATAAGAATTTTTAATTTTTTATTATTTATTGACATCTTTCGATTATCTTATGTGATCGATAGAATAAAGTCATTGGAAAATATTTAATAATTTTTAATACTTTTGTTTTCGCTGTTTGAATTGTTTTACTGGATCAATAAAGACAAATGAATGTATTGTTCGTGAAAAAAGATAAAACATTTACTATTGAAATTCTATAGCGATGTTTATAATGATAAAGTGTTTTTTTTTATGTACAAATAAGAATATATAAAAGTAAGGATTCTTTATCATAATTTTTTATTTTAATGTAGATTTTTTAAATTAAGTTTTATAACACATTAATTTCTTAATAAATTATTTATAATTTCCAAATATAATTGCAAAAATTTTCAAACAATAAATATTAATAATAAAATTAATCTTAGTAAATTTATCAATTAAAATCCAATTTAAAATAATCAAAAATGTAATATATTATATAAAAAAAAGATAAAATAATTAAAATTCTGAATTAAAGAATAAATAAAAAATCAAAATCATAAAAGTTTATACGATGTATCATAGCTAAAAAAATCGTAATAAAAACTTGAATAATAATTTATTTCTGGAATGTGATTTGTGAAGTGTGATCATAACAAGAAGAAATGCACAATAATCATTAGCTATTATATCATTTTTTATTCTAATAGAAAAAGAATGTTTCCACGAAATTTCAGAATCTATCATTGATTTATAATTTCTTTTGAATAATGTGATTATTAGATAGAATATTAGTAGAATTATAATTTTAATTTCAATATTTAAATAATAAAATTTTTATTTGATTTGAAATTATTTCTCTACTTACCAATTCCACCACTTTGAAGATAGTAGCCTTGTTCATCCCCATTTTAACCTATTTGTAAAAAAAATTTATTATTTTAAAAGTTTTAAAAAAAAATCACATAATGATATATATCAATTTTTTTCTAAATTAATAACATTCTCACAGTATAACTGATTCCTTTTCTTTAGAAAATATAATATAAAATCTTATTTTATTTATTATACTTCTATAATAAATTTCAAAAATTGAAATTAATAGTAATTATTAAAATTAATTTCTTGCACACTTACTACTAATATAATATTAACAAATTATAGAAATTTTTTATATTTTTAATGATTGATATATTTTAAAATTGATAAGTTTCTTATATTTTTAATCTTCTTCAAATATGAATTTTATTATATTAATATAATCTTAAATTATTCATAATAATAATTATTAAAATTAATTGTAAATCAATTTCAAAGCAAACGAAATAAACAAATGAACTCTAAATTGAAGTTATATTATTTTTTATAATAAAACAAACTTCTAATCAGTACGTTTATTTTTATTAATTACTCATAATATTAATCAATCATTTTATATTGTTAATGATGCATTTAATATTCATATATATAATCGCTGGTTTATTCGTCTCATAATTATAAAACAATTTTTATTCTCATAATTTAGATAAAAAAAATATATAAAACATGACACTCCATTTCATTTGATAAATCTCTAGAATATATGTAGATAGATATGTAGAAGACAATTGTTCATACTTTTATTTTGACTCATCCTATTCATTCAAATTCTATATCAAACATTCTATATATCAAACATAAAAAGTTAGCACAAGTTATATATATGCGTTTACTAGATTTCATACATATATTATTAACATGTAAATTGTTTGCTTTTTTTTTATATTATATTATATTTTTTCTAGTTTCCATTTTAAAAATTAATTATTAAATTGTTTTGTAATTTATTATTTCAATTTTTATTACTTTTAATATTTACTAATATTAATTTTAATTTATTTAATATATTATTTAATAATATAATTTAATAAATTAACTTTAAACGTATCACAAAAATATATCTTAAATTTTTCAACAATAAACTTTTATTAAAATATATTTTAAAATAATTTGTTTGGCACGTTTGCACGTAGCTAAGTCAGTTGAACGAATGGTCTTTAATAGTCTTTAGAATGGTAACTACTCTATCCAAAGATGGATTGAAAGAAGTCTAGCAAAAATATTAACACTTTATTCATATGTTTATACTATCATGAAGAATCATATGACTGAAAAATTAATGTTTAAACTAGTGATTAAAAAAGAGAAAAAAAGAAAAATAAATCTTAATAATACAAATATTAAAAAACTTATATAACTTTATTTAGCAAAATATAGAAAACTAGAAATTAATTTATAAAACAAAAATTTGCAAAAATTAAAATAAATAAATAAAATAAATAAAACCGAAAACAGAAAATTTTTTTTATTAATATGTACATATAAAATTGATTACTGGAAGGAAAGTTGTACTTTCACTCGTATGATCATTGAGTCATAATATTATTTTAGACTCATATGAGTCTAAAAACCTTGACTCAGATTTTTAACATATTTCTTTTCATATGATTTTTTTCTCATTTATGTAAAATTTACGCATTACTCTAAATCACCGATGTTTAAAGTGTAACTATTATTGACTATATCTAAAATACTATATCTAAAACTATATCTAAAATAAATTGTAATCACTCTGACAATAAATAAAAATTAATCTTATAAATTGGAAATTTTTTTTCATTTCATATTTAAATCTTTAATATAATATAAAATATTTTAAATGTGTATTTTAAATTAGTAAATAAGTAAATATTTGATTGTTTTATTTAAAACAAAACGATTAATTGTGTGAATATAAAATATAATTATTTTATTATATTTATTAGATAAATATTTATGATAAATTTTAGATTTTTTTAAGTTAAATATTAATTTTGAATTGTAAAATTTAAACTAAATATTTATTTATTTAAAATATTTAAACTACAAAGTTTATTAGAATGTTATACACTTTTTTTTTCAGTTGACTGAAATAGAAATATATATGCATATCATAAATGCATATATGACATAAATTGCAAAAAATTATACTTCATCATATTAATCACAACTTGTAAAACATAAAATTGTACTATGTACCTATACAAAATCGTAGAAACTTTTATATGCTAAGGCAAAAAAACTTATAAAAATGATCATCATATTATGATCAAAGTGGACTAATTATATATTATTCAACGAAAAGAAATTTTATTTGTCAGTACTAATAAAAATTAATTTTTAATTAATTGACTTTGACCAGTATAATATTGCAAAAAATTATTAATAATGTTTTATTTCCAACACTTATCACACATATACTTGTATCTTAACAATTTGTTTCATAACTTAACAATTTCCATTAATTTCATAAGTTCCCATTCAATTTTCTATAATAAATTTTAAAATAATAAAATTATGCATTTTAATTTCATATATTTTAATATTTTAATATCTAACATATATTGTCACAATTTTTAAACGCAATTTTTTCATTTAATATTAAATTAGATGCTATTTTCCTTGAGAATTTAATATATTTTAATATATATTTAATAGTTAAAATACTTTGTGAAATTGAAGTTAGCTTATTTTGTTTTTACACTCGTTGAAAATAAACTTACTTTTATTCAGTTTAAATTAATTAAATTCAATTTAATCGGAAATAGATTTTCACAAGACAATAGTTCGAAAAGGACTAGATGTTGAAGACCGATTACGAAGAAGCGTTCAATTCCGATTTTTACCACAGACTGAAACATGGCTACATTTACATAATCTTTTACATACGCATATTGTGAATAGCCTCACCTTTAGTAATGTTGTGACGTCTTTGATAGTGTCTCTCAAACGAATATGATTTTTTTATAAATCTTTTTACAAATCCATTATTTCAAAACTAAATATAATAAAAATTTTTTATGGAAAATTTTTATTAAAAATATTTTATTTTGAAACTTATAAGCAATCTTTTTTTAAAATATTTAAAATATCCATTTTTTATTATAAAAGTATAGTATAAATGTTTTTAAGAAAATAATAATAATAATAATAGTTTTAATATTTTTTATATTTTTAATAGTTGTAAAATGTTAATATTATTATAGATCAATATTTTCCTTGTAAATGATAAATGTATGAAAAAGAAAAAAAAAATTTTTATAATAAAATAAATATAATTATAATAAAATATATATTAATTTTTTATATTTATAATATTTTTTAAATTTTTTAACTTTTTAAATGCAATACTTAAATATTTTGTTATTTCATATAAAAACATATATTATAATAAATTCATATGTAATTAATAGTCTTCAAAGTCACATAAAATCAGATAAAAAATAAAAGAAATAGTTATTTTGAATAACTTATATTATTTTATTTAATGACATGTATTTATAATGGTACATATTTCTTATTGATAAATCTATGTATATTTTGTGTAATTGACTCATTTTATATTTTTATTAATTATAGAGTCATATTTATTACTAATATCAAAAGATGAATTCAGTGATATTATAATTTTAATTTTAATTGCGTATTTTAAATAAGTTATTATGTTATTAAAAAGATCTAATATTTTCATATAAATAATTATAAAATATTTTAAAATAAACAATTTTTTTTTAATATAAATAAAATTATTTAAAAATTTCTATCGAATAATATGCATCATAATTAGTTCGAATAAAAAAAAATGAAGTTTTTTATTTTTTAAATTTTATTGAAAAATTAAAATACCATTTTATTAAATATAAAAATATGTTATTTCTTTCTTTAAATTATCTTTTTTAAATTATCTTTAAAATTGTTTTCTTTAAAATTGTTATTTTTAAAAAAATAAAATATTTACAATAAAATTAAAATAATCTTCCTTTCTTTTTAATATTTTCAAAATTATAAACTCTCTAAATTTAATTATTTGATTAAAAAATTATTCTTTATTCTTTTTTTCTATTTTTATTCTTTTTTTGTATTTTTGATATAATATTGGATTAGGTTCATATTTAAGTTGAAAGATTGAGAAGCACTGGTAACACGATCAGATTCATTCTAGTTAATGGTTGGTTTTCATTAAAGAGAATACTTTAATTATTGATAGATAAAATTTGTTAGATAGTTTTTAATAGTTCTGAATTTTTTCATGATTATTATATTATATGTGTTATATTATATTAAATTAATTTCACTACATATATTTAAATATTTAAATTATATTTAATATATACATCATATAATTTCCATATTTTTTTAAATAAAATAGATAGATTAATTAAATATGATAAATTTTTTGATTCATATTTTGTCTATGTACATGTATATATTAATAATCAAACATTATTACAATTATTTAGTATGATTCATATATCATATATTATTTATTTTAAATGTGATTTAGTATCGTTCTAAAAAATTAATCGTTCATTCAAAATAAGATAAACTTGAACTTTTAAATAACTAAATTTTTATCGAAATTTTTAAATTATATTCGAAATTAAATATTAATCCTTTATAATATCTAAAATCACTTATTAATATAACTTTGTTTTATATTTTTTTTAATGTTCTAAGATTTAAAAAATTCTGAAAAAATTCAGGATTATTCATTAACATATTTATTTTATTTTCCAAGTTTTTCAAAAACAATCGAAATAAAATCGATTGTTTTAAATTATTTTTGGGATTCCATTTTATGAATGATTAAAATTTTTATATAATATTATTATTATATAATATTTTATATATCTATTATATAATATTTTTATATATCTTACTTAAAACTTGTTAAAACTTATATATATTTAATTATGTAAATAATTATTATTACATTAAAAATTACATAAAATACAGATATCAAATATTAAAATATCAAATATTAAGTAAATATAGAGTATTTTCAAAAGTCAATTTAAAATTTGTGAATAAATTTAAATTACATGCATTTTTGAAGCAATAAAATACATAAAAATTATTCTAGGAAATTTTTTTAATTATTTCATTTATTTTTTTTTTTTATAATATATTTTTTGCAATAATACTTTTTACAAAGATATCAAATATTTCTAGAATTTTATAATTTTATAATTTAATCTTGAATCTTCAAAAAAAATGATCTATTATATTATTATACATAATTATATACCTTTCATTAATTCTTATGTCAATTCTCTTTTGATGTTCTTTTTTGAATAACATCATATTATCAATTATATGATAACTTCATATCATATTATTTAGATACAAAGCATCATGAAATTCGCAATAGGCTTAATTTATAATTTATAATAATGAAATCTGAGAGTATCACATTCTTTAATAAATATTATCTAAAAATAAAAAAAATTGTAACCATACGAAAATTCAAGATTTATGACGAAACTATTGATCGAACATTTCTTGTTTTTATTTTTTTCTTTTGTATTATTAATATTTTTCTATTTTTTTTTACTTATTTTTTCAGTATCTTGATTTCATTCTTTTGGCTTTCTTTTTAGATTTATACTTTTAAATCAAATAATAATATTTAAATTTTCTAAAAAAAACGAGTGAAAGAAATTGTCAATATAATATAGATTTTTAATATAAGTGATATATTTTTTTTCTTTCATAATGAAATGAAAAATTTTAAAACGAAATTTTTATTTATACAATTTAAAGATTTTTATTTTGTATGTTACATAACATTTATAACGTTTATAATATTTATAATGGTTTATGAATATTTTTTTTTAATAATGTGTGATAAAGATTAAATAAAGATTAATGTTTATATCAATATTAAACATAAATACAATATTAAACACAATATTAAACATAAATATTAAAAATATGTCTCTTTATAATATATTTTTTTTATTCATTTATTATTACGTAATTGTTCTCAATAATTAAAAAAAAATTAATTTTATAGTTGAAAAGATGATAAAAATAATATAAAAATTTTAACTATATATACTATATATAACTAATTATATATAACTATTATATACATATTTTAAATATTTTTGCATTTTTTCCCAATTTTTGCAATTCTTTTAAATTTTATGACGTAATTTTTTTTTTTAGTATTTAACGCCATCTCTTTGAAAAGTACTCAAACTTGTCGTACACTTTTACCGATAATAAAATGAATTTGTTAGTAGACTTTAACTTGTAGCTCCATCTCTTAAACAATTTCGAAAGCTTTTTATATATAGATAACGCTAATAATCAATTCTTGATGAGATGTCTCATGCATTTAAAAAATAGTATTAACCGTCAATTCCTATTCTATTCTTTTAATATTCTTTTGTTTATTTTTTTCATTTATTGTGCTATATATAAACGGTACTAATTCGTTAATTTTTACTCTATTTTTGTTCTTATCCTATTTTTCATTTTTTTTGTCTATATTTTGCAGTTTTTGGCGCATAAGTACTATAATTAAAGTATAATTAAAGTATCAATTGAATATTTTTATCTTAGCTTGCCTTAAAATAAAAAAATGTAAATATTATTTTCGACTTTATAATGCATTTCTAGGATGATGACTTCATGATCTTTATGTGATATAAAAATGCATTGGATAATATCTCTTTTATATTTAGTCTATGGTCATATATTAGTATATTTAGTATTAGTATATTTAATCTATAGTCATAAAATACTATTATAAGTAAGTAAATCTATTCTGTATCTTGTCTATGGACAAGATTCCTAAAATTTATTTTGTCAATGATGTTAATAAGAAGTAAGTAATTAATCTAAAATAATTGAATTTATATATATGTATATATTTAAAAAATAATAAAAATATAAATAAAATAGCATTAGAAGAATGGGAAATATATCTATAAAACATAATATAAAAGATTAAATTTTAACTAACTCAAATATTTTTAATCAAACTAAGTTATGACTATGTGATTAACGTGTAAAAATTTGGAAATAAAAACGCAGAGATTTCGCAAGACGAATCGTGCGAAAAGATTCTACGAAACGATTTACTTATTCTTTTATATTCGCAAACTTGTCTTAAGAGAAAAATTGGGCCACAGTATAATTTCTCTTTTGCTCACAGTATCGCGACGCTTATCGCCAAGTGTCAACTAATTCTAGGTATTTAATTTAAATAGCTTTCATTTAACGCTATTTATAATTGAAATAAAATATATTTTATATGTAACATATATATATATAAATTTTGTATTCTTTGTATTAATTTTTTATATTATATTCTATTTTTATTTAATTTAGATTTTTAAATCACAATAAATGTCTTAAATCATGACTACAATAAATGTCTTAAGTCAAGATGTCGCAATGACATCACAGCAGTCTCAAACACAATCCCAACAGACACAATTTGTATCACAACCTCCAAAGCAGCAAGTAGTACAGCAACCATCTACTCAACAACAACCTCAACAACAACAAAGTTCCTTCAATGATTTCCCACAAGTATGTTTATTGTAAAAAAAATAAATTTTATTGAATATGTTTCTGTATGTTTTATATATATATATATTTTTTTATATTATATAAATTCTAGTTTTTGACTAAGACAAGATTACAAGATCTTGTGAAAGAAGTAGATCCTACTGAACAATTAGATGAAGAAGTAGAAGAAATGCTATTACAATTGGCAGATGATTTTGTAGAAACAACTGTCAATGCAGCATGTTTGTTAGCCAAACATCGTCATGCAAATACTGTAGAAGTAAAAGATGTACAATTACATTTAGGTAAGTTATGAAAAATAATCAGATAAATAACTATTCAATATAACATAATTAAATATATATAATTTATTATCCAATTTTTAGAAAGAAATTGGAATATGTGGATTCCTGGTTTTGGTACAGATGAAGTTCGTCCATATAAACGTGCAACAGTTACTGAAGCACATAAACAAAGATTGGCACTTATACGAAAATCAATTAAAAAATATTAGTCTTTCTGTACATTTCATCCTGTGTTATTATTTTATCTTTAACTAACAATTCTTTTACATGTAGTATAATTTATGATAACATATATAATTAATATTTGTAAAAGAAATTATAATTATATATATATACATAATTATGATTATACATACTTTTTGCAATGTACATAATTTTAAGTCTAAAATGTTTAATATTAAACAATAACTAAAATTTTTTTTTAACAAGTTTATAATTACTTTATATAATATGATTTAGAAATAGAAAAATTAAAGAAATAAATATATATTACAATTTTAATTAAACATTATACAAAATAATTTTTATTTGTAAATTTTTTTATAAAGATTATATTTTTATATTTGTAAAAAAAAAAATCTTGTTCAAAAAATAAAAATTCACTATTTTATTTATATAATAAGATTATTATATTAAAATATAAGTAATTTAATTTAGATTTAAATCTTAAAAAATGTTATTCATTCATGTATAAAATTACATAAAAATGATACAAAATTGTAATTTTTAATTTTACAAAATTTTTTTTAAAAATATATATCAAGAAATTGTATTCTTGATTTTTTATTTATATAATATGATTTTATATTTATATAATATAAATATATATATAATAATATATATAATATAAAAATAAATATAAACGTAAAAAATTTATATAAAAAAAAATACAAATTAAAGAAATTTATTCTATTTGTTTAAATTACATTTAATTTTAAATAACACTAGATTTAAGTCACTAATTTAGTTTTCTTTTAATTTAGTTTTTTTCTAGTTACTTTTTGATTTATAGTAATGACTGAAACAGAAGAAACCGGAACTGCTTGCTCATCAAATTGAATTCATCAAACCAACCAACAACATACATACCATAGTCTAGTATAAATCGTGATAACCTTTTTCTTTCAGGGACATATTGTAAGATTTTACCATCTGCTTATTGGGACAATTTTCAGACGGTATTGTTTCTTTTTTCCATCTAATTTTTGTATATATATATATAAAATATTTAATAATTTATTAGAAAATAATTGCATATCATTAGTCTAAAAAATAAACAATTACTTTTTCACAAAATATTTGTTCTATCGCGAATCTAGTGTTTGTAGCATCTGAACATATATGTCTCTTTGTTCTACTAGTTGTTAAATATACAAAACATATTAACTTTAGATTTTAATATATTCTTATTGTATTTATCAATTTAAGTATGGTATTCTTTTAATAATTAATGAAAGTTTTCAAATTAATAATGTTTGATTTTAAGGATTAGGCTTATATTTATAGAAAATAAATATATCGAAATTAAAATATCAATTGTATTGCAGATGTGTGCAAGACAATAGTGAAGATAATATAATTTATTTTATTGAAGTAAAAAATTCAGTAAAAATTATATAAAAATAACAAAATAAGAATTTATTATATTCTATAAACAGTATATGTAATAGATATTTCTGAAGGATATTTCATTAAAAAAATGTCTGGTAGTAATGAAAATATGAATAATAACACCTGTGTTGTATGTTACAAAAATGTTGACATTTATAGCATTGGAATGTGTGAACACCCTGTATGTTATGAATGCAGTACTCGAATGAGGGTGCTTTGTTGTCAAAATGAATGTCCTATTTGTCGTCAAGATTTGCCAAAAGTTGTATTTACAAAGGAGATAAAACCTTTTCGCCAATTACATAAAGGTAGCTTAATAGATACACGATATAATATCTATTTCGATACATCAGATATTCAAAATAAATTTTATGATTTATTGGCTAATGTTTGTTATATTTGCAAAGAGAAACTTGTATTTAATAATTTTAATAGTTTAAAAGATCATATGAGACATCAACATGAGTTACATTATTGTGATCTTTGTGTGGAAAATTTAAAGGTAATAAATATTAATATTATTTAATTTTAAATCTATTTTAAAATATATTAAGATTAATTGAATAATTTATTGTTAATTTTCAATAATTTATAATGAAAAATTAACTTATTTTTTTTATAATAGATATTTTCTCATGAAAGACGTTGCTATACAAGATCTGATCTTGCACAACACCGAAGAAAAGGAGATGTTGATGACAAAAGTCATAAAGGACATCCATTATGTGAATTTTGTGATCAACGCTATATGGATAATGATGAATTATTTCGTCATTTGAGGAGAGATCACTTATATTGTCATTTTTGTGATGCAGATGGTTTACATCAATATTATAGTTCTTATGATTATCTGAGAGATCATTTCAGACAAGAACATTTCTTGTGTGAAGAAGGAATGTGTGTTGAGGAAAAATTTACAAGTGTCTTTAGAACTGATATAGATCTTAAAGCACATAAAGCAAGTGTTCATAGTAAACAATTGAGCAAAGCTGCTGCAAAGCAAGCAAGAACATTAGAACTAGAATTTACACTAGCTCCACGTGGTGAAAATCGAATGAACAGAAGAGGAATGTTAGGTCCATCGACTTCTAGGAATTCAAGAGATTATAGTCTCAGGGAATATCAACCAACTTCGCCAAATACTTCAAATGTATTTATACCAAACAACGAACTTACTTTTATAAAACGTCGATCTGTGGATGTGCAAAGTACAGAAGAATTTCCAACATTGGGTAACACCGCACCTATTGTACCTACTTTAAATCAAAGTAAAGGTAGAGGTAATGTAACAATCCGTAGTACTATAAGACCCCAGCCTCTTGCTGTTACAGACGAAAATTTCCCCGCATTAGGACCGGAAGCAGGAAGTACAAGTATTTCTAAAACTGTTAATTTTAGTGTATCCAGCAGTAATGCAACAGGATCAAATACACAACCTCAAAAGAGTACAACTTCTAATGTATCTATTCAAGTTAATCATGAACCAAATGGAACAGTTACTACAAAAGTTTCAGGTCCTAATATAAGAATTCGTCCTGCTCAGCTATCAATGGAATCATTTCCTGCATTAGGTTCTGCAGAACCATCAACTAGTAGTAATACAAATTCAGCTCATTGGAAAGAGGTATTACAATGGACTTGTTCTAAATCAGCATCTACATCGATACCTAAAAAAGTAGTTTCACCGCCATTAAATCCTTCTCCACCACCTATTCAATCTGGGGAAGATTTTCCTACATTATCAAAGTCATCTAAATCAAAGAAACAATCAACAATTACAGTAGTTCCTTCTTGGGGTCAACCACAGAATTCTAACAGTAATAATATAAAAACAACTACTGATTTAACAAAAGGAAAAACGAAAAAGAAAAAAGTTAAACAAAATTATAATAACAATACTGCTAATGGAAATGATGGTAATAGTTCAAAAACAAATATAAGTTCTGTTGTAGTAAAAAAAGAATGTGAAACACCTAGAAATTTATCTAGTATGAATAGAACGGATACTGTACAGTCAAGTTCGCAATCTACACGAAATACGAATAATATTAGTAACAGTGAAAATATATCAAAAAATATAAATGTTCAATCTTCAAAAGAAATGGAACAAATTAATAAAAAAGAAAAGAAAAAACATAAAAATATAGATAATGAAACAGTTGTAAATACAAATATCGATAATAATACTTCAAACGGAGTACAGAGAAAACGCACTGAATTAAAAATAGATAGCTTAAATTCTAGCAATAGAAATGTTCGTCATTTAGAAGAATTTCCAGCTTTAAGTAGCAGCAGTTCTAAACCACCAGGTTTCACAAATCCACCACCAGGATTTGGAACAACAACTCCTCCACCTCCTGGTTTTTGTATAAAATATAACAGCATGGATAAATTACATAATAGTAATGGATTGACTTTTACAAACAGTTCTGGAGAAAGTTATTCTATTTTGCCAGATAATAGTAAGCACAATAGTGCATATAATTATGTACCTCCTCCAGAATTTCAAAAACGGAATAAAAGTCTTGTAGCCAAAGTTAATGAAATCCTAATGCAACATGATGATCAAATTGAGGAATTTCGATATATAAGTGGACTATTTCGACAAGGAACATGTAATGCTCAAGATTATTATACGCATTGTCGCGAAGTTATGGGTTTCAATGCTTTTGAAAATGTATTTTCAGAGCTTTTAGTTCTCTTGCCAGATATTGAAAAGCAACAAGAACTATTTAAAGTTCACAAAAAAGAAAGTGGTAATAAAATTAAAGGTTTAGAAATTTGTGCAAGTTGTGGTCAAGTTTTAAAAAATGGTTCTGATTCTCGAACACATATGACTAGTCATACATTAGAAAATCATTTTCCTGCATTAGGCAAAAATAATGCTCTGTCTCAAAAATATTCTTAGGTTTATAAATGAATATAGTTATGTTCCTTTAATTATCTTAAAAATTTTGCCAAGGTTCTGTAAGCTATAAATAAAGGAACTGCTAAACAAATTATTTTTATGGCATCAATAAGATAGTTACAATCAATTTGAAGTTATTGGTAAAATATAAATATTCTAATTGTCAGCTTTTAGTATTAAAAAGTTAATTTGAACAAATTAATTACCATGATGCACTTGGTATTTGTTCAATGATCTGTGTGACTGCTGCCTAACTAAAGAAAATTTATTATCAAATGGTTGTATGCACTGATAATTTTATGAAAATGCATATAGCAAATAAAGTCAATAATTCTATGTATAATAACAAATTTTATGTAAATGAATTTGAACAATTTAACATTTGTGACATAAAAATATCTAAATAAGATATTCATATATTAAAATCTTTTAATTGATGCCCTTTATTCTGTCATATATTAAAACTACTTTGTATATATTACTCATAAGTAGGAAATATATTCTGTAATTTATTCATTGTCTTTTATGAGTAGAAATGGAATAAAATTTTATGATGCATAAAAATAATATTGCATATTAACAAATTATTTGATACGTTATACATTATACAGTGCATGTATGATAATGTACTGTTTTGTACTATAATAAAGTTACTACATTGAGTTAAATAAGAAGACTGCAAAATATACTTGACTATTATATTTCCCTATATTGTAAAAATAAATTCTTATTTTTATGTTATAAAAGAAAATGATAATGATAAAATACAATTGTAAAATTATAATTTATATTTTTATTTCTAATAATTTTTTAAATTTATAATGATATTTTACAATAAAAATCATATATCTTTATAAGAAAAAATTATTAGTTAGTAAGGAAGAAAAAGATATATATTTTAAATGTTTATTCTTATATTTTATTCTTATTGTTAATATTATTCATTCTATACTATTATTTATTCAAAAAACAAAATAGTAGAAACTATATGTTAAATAATATATATACATAAAATATTATATATATACATATATATATAATATTTCATTTTTAATTTGCTACATAGACGCAGAGCAAAGTGCATAACAAAGTATAAAAAATTTATTTTCTTTTTTTTTTTATAGTGAAGAAATAATGATAATTTATTAAACAAATAATATATATTCTTTTCAAATAAAAATATGTATATTAAAATTAATGTAGAAATATTTTATATTTATTATAAATTCAGGATACACTTTTTAAATAAACTCACAATATCTTCTATTGATTAGCAAACAGATATATAACTGATAAATTTATGCACTCATCTATTTTACAGCTTTTTTTTAAAATAAAATTTCATTTTGAAAATAAAACTTGCTTTAGCATTCAACACTGACTCAGTCAATTTTTAACACTGAGACAGTCAAGTTATATTTCTATTATTTCAAGTAGTTTTCCTCTTAAAAATTACAATCACAGTGGTATTAAATCGTACACATAGTGCGTAATCTGACAAAATGGAAATTGCAACATGTCTTCTACGTCCATGCTCAATGAATAAATTGTTCATGAAGATTATGGATACAGTATTTTTATCACTTTTTAGCTAGTTCATTACTCAACCAATCAAGTCCTTCATAGAGTCCATGTCCTTGAGTAGCACAAGTACTTTGAATATACCAATGACGTCCACGTAAAGAATTCAATCCTAATTTATCTGTAAGTTCTGCTGCAGACATGGCATTTGGTAAGTCTTGTTTATTAGCAAAAACTAAAAGAACTGCATCCCTTAATTCATCTTCTTTTAACATGTTTGCTAATTCACGTTCTGCCTCTCCAATACGTTCCCGATCATTACTATCAACAACATAGATGAGACCTTGTGTATTTTGGAAATAATGTCTCCAAAGTGGTCTGATTTTATCTTGACCACCAACATCCCATACCGTAAAACATATATTCCTGTATTCAACAGTTTCAACATTGAAACCAATTGTAGGTATTGTTGTGACAATTTCACCAAGTTTTAGTTTATATAATATAGTAGTTTTTCCAGCAGCATCCAGACCCACCATTAATATTCTCATTTGCTTTTTACCAAAAAGCCGAGTAAGTAGGCTACTAATTGTTAGGCCCATTTTGTTTAAGAAGACTCTGATTCAAAATACTTAAATTAATATTCTTTTGCTTGGTAAAATTGATGCTACGTATTGTTTTATTTATTTCGATAATGATATTTCGCATGAAAAAAAACAGTATTTAAAATTTTAGAAATATGACGACGTTTATAATGCCGTTAACACACCTTACAGACAATAATAGCAAACGTCACCTCAAGGAAACTTATTATTCCGGAAATAGTTGGCAAAATTGGCCACGCACGCCAACTCCTAGCTTAAAGTACTAATCGTAAATACTACTAATATTACTGCAGATTTTAAAACAATTATTTCTTTTTACAGCATCCTAAAACTAGATATAATCAAGAAATAGATTGAAAATTATTTCATTATTAAAATTCATAAGTCATAATATACCGAATAAAAAACAAGTCAATGTATTCTGTCATAACCCTTAACTATATAACCAAGCGCGCAATTCAAAGACAATTTTTTTATTATTTTTATTTAAAGAATTTTTAAAAATATTTTGATTGTAGAATTATTATTATAAAGAATTTTTCATGATAATTTATAAATAATATTCTCTTGACAATTTTACAAAAAAATCAAATTATTTGCATATTTTGAAGCAATTTCTGTCGCTTTCATTATGAAATCCAATATTGATAATATTATTAACATATTATTTTAAATATTTGTAGAATGTAATGTTTATATAATAATTTAAAAAATGAATTTTTTAAAAATGAATAAATTATATATTAATTATCTGCATTACGTACAACCTTCATATAAATTCGAAATATAAACACTAAATATCTCCAAGTTTAAATTAATTTTTTTTGTATTCTATATTATTACAGTACCTTATACTCTTCTTTCATTCATTTAGATTTTAAGCTTATGAAATTTAGAAAACATTATAATTTTCATTGCCAACTTAAAGCAAAATGTTTGTCATAAAAAAGAAACAAAGAACAAAAATATATATAGATATTCCTCTAGTTTAAGATTTCCATATCCACAAGAATAGCTTTCAAGATTTCTCGTAAATAGTAGAAAACGCTACATGTAAATTTATCAATTATATCAAATGTAAATATTTATATTAATTAAAAATATAATAAGAAATATATCTTCATAAATGGATTCAACATAATGAGAATAATTGCATTTTGTTTCTTTGAAATATTCAATACTATATCAATCCACGACGAATACAAAAAGAAAAAATAAATGATTGATATCATCTTGATTCATTGAGAAAAAATGATTTTAATATAAATTTGTATATATAATATATATTATTTTTATTAATATAATTATGAATTTTGAAAATTATAAATTAAATATTCTTTTTAAATTTTATTTAAAAAATTAAGATTTTTAAAAATATTTGTAAATTATTTTGCATATTTTGTAAAGAAAAAATTTGAAAAGATAAAAATAATAAAAGTGATTGAATAATTTAATTTGATAAGTAGATTTCGGGTATTTATGTAAAATATGAATACGCAAAAATCTATAGAATGCATATGAACAAAAAAACAAAATATTTAAAACATTTAAATATTCAAAAACTAATATAATTTTTAAAAAATATATAAAAAATAAAGCAAATTTTTATGTTTACAAAAATTTATATAAACAATTTTTTATTTAGAAATTTTTTATAAAAAAATTATTCTATTGCATAAAAATTCTATTGTTTTTAATAATATTTAAAATCATTAAAATTTTATGTAATTTTTCTTAGAAATCATAATTGATTATTTTTAAAAATAAAAATATATTTTATTGGTTTATTATTTATCAATATTCATTAAAAACAGTGACTTTTAAACCATGACTTGTAAAAGAGATAAATCTTCCATATTATTTTTTATAAAGATAAAGTCTTTCAAAAATACATCATTAAATAAAATTTAGATAAAAATACGTTTCTTTGTTTAATAAGAAAAAATTATATTATAATGTTTTTTGATAGTGCAATTAAATGCATTGATAATACATTTTAAAATATAAATAATGAACGAGAGAATCTTTTCGTATAAAGTAGATAAGTCTGTTAAAAATTTATGTGCAATTTTACTTTTAACCTTTCACATAAAAAATATTTAAAAATTATATATTTAAATTAAAATTAAGAATAACTATATATCTTAAATAAGTATCAGTGAAAAATATCTAATTTATCTAAAACGAAATATTATCTATGAAATATCTAATTTACAAATAATGATAATTTAAAATATAAGTGAATCGTTTATAAAAGAAGTGCATATATTATTAAGATTTATAAAGTGTGTAAAAAACAGAAATTGTCACATCTAACTTTGAAATTACGAAAATGATTACCATAATACTGTTCTTCATATTTCTCTTGATATTAATTTTACATTATTTTTTGTCGCATTATGGGAAATCTGGAATGATAAAGTTGATACCAGGACCTCGGTCATTTCCGATTGTTGGGAACATTCCTCAAATTCTAAGTTCCCCAAGTAAGAAAAAATATCTCGTCTTTTAAATTTTATTTAATTTTAATGAAATTAATAAATTTAATTAATTTTAATAAAATTTTAATAATTCTATTTGATTTTTTATTTGATGAGTAATAAATCAAATCAACATTATTAATCATTATAATGTTCATTTTATTTATAGGTGAGATTTGGACATCTCTAATAAAAATGGGCAAAGACTATTATCCAATTTTTAAAATTTGGACTTTCTTTGAAGCACATATTCATATTTGTCATCCAGATGATATTGAGGTAATTAATTTCAAATTGAAATTATACGAATATTAATAATTTAAAAAAAAATTGAACTGTTCAATTTTTTGCGAAAATTACATTTTAAGAATAAAAAATTATTATTTTTTTCCTTGTCATCTAGACAATTCTTGGAAATACTAAATTTACTAAAAAAGGTTTTGCGTACAAATACCTGGAATCTTGGTTTAATACTGGACTTCTTACCAGTTCAGGTATTATATTTAATTTTTATTAATTATTTTATTTATTATATTTTTTTTTAGAATAAAATGTTATTTTTGTTAAATTTATTCCAAGCTTTGATAATTTATTTATTGCATTTCAAAGAGAAAAGTAAGTAAATAGTAATTTATTGATTTTTTTGTCATTTAATTGACTTGAGGTCATAAATGGCACGTTCGCAGAAAGATATTGACGCCTGCTTTTCACTTCAATATACTTCGACAATTTGTTGACGTATTTATAGAGGATGCTGAACGCTTGATTAAAGTGTTGAGAAGTAAAAATGGAATTATCGTGCCAAATCTATTACAGTTCACTAGCGAACATACATTGAATGTTATGCGGTAAATTACAAAACATTATGTAGATGATTAGATAATATTGAAAGATTTCGAATACAATTGAAATTAATTTTTTTTCTAATGCATTTAAAAAATTACAGAAAATTAAATTAATATAATTATTATATATAATACATTTGTTCTGACAATAAAATTTATATCGAAGAGATATAAAAAATAAATAAAAAAAATTAGCTAATTTTTACTTAATTTTTCATTTCTTTAGAAACTGCAATGGGAACTTCATTAAAGAATAAAGGAATATTTCAGTATAAATATCGTAAAGCTGTATACGATATGGGATGTATTTTCGTATATAGGTGAATAATTTTTCATATTATATTATTTTATATGTATATATATATTATTTAAATTTTTATTATGATTTTTATAGAATAGGAAGACCATGGTTTTATTATGATTTCTTTTTTAATCTTTCTCCTCAAGGATGGCAACAATCTAAATTACTTAAAATATTACATAATTTCACACGAAAGGTAAATATGCAATTTTTATTATGAATATTATCTAATCATACTTATTTAATCATTATATCGTTACTTTTTATAATAAAGAATTTATATTTTGTTGAAATATTAAAAAAATGATCTTATCTTTATATTATATATCTTTATGTTAAATGTCTTTGAATTTCAATTAATTAATAATGATTTTAATAATATATTTACAGATAATCCAAGAACAAAAAAAATATCACGATCAGACGAACGGTCGATATTTAACTGACTTTAACGAGAATACAAATGAAAATAACAATGAAAGTGATTTAGGAAGTAAATAATATAAAATAAAAATAATAAATAAATATTCGATATATTTATTTAGCATATATTAGCATTTTTATTTATTTATAGTTCGTAGAAAAAGACTCGCTATGCTTGATCTATTAATAGAAGCCCATCGAAATGATAAAATAGATGATGAAGGAATTAGAGAAGAAGTCGATAAATTTATGTTCAGAGTATAATACATTTTTATTTTCTATGTGAGAACACAAATAATTTTTTGGATCATAATAAAATAAAAATATTTTATTTTAAACAGGGACATGATACTACAGCTATAGCTTTTTGCTTTTCTGTAATGCTTCTTGCTGAACATAAAGATATCCAGGTGATTTTTAATTTTTTGTTATAAATTTAACTTTTATGAAAAAAATACTAGATTAGATAAAATAATGTATTTTTTATTACTTTTTCATTTTTTATTATGATATATATTTTTAAACTGATGAATATATAGATAAAAATTAACAACATTCTATATATATTTTATCGTTTTATTAAATTTTTATTTTCTTTCTCAAAAAAAAAAAAAAATATTTATTAAACTAAGCAGAAAAAATTTTAATGAGTATGTTATTCATAATTTTCTATAAAAGAACTTAATAACATGTTTAAATTTCATGATTTATAATTATTTATTACAGGATCGAGTTAGGACTGAAGTAAAAGCCGTAATAGGCGAAAATGGAGAAAAATTAAATATGTCTACTCTTCAAAGTCTTCCATATCTTGAGAGGTGTATTAAGGAAACTCTTCGTCTTTATCCAAGCGTGCCTCTAATATCACGTAGAGTGGAAGGGGATGTAAAATTAAGTAAATACAAAAATTATTCTATATAGATTGTAAAATAATTACATTCATTTAATTTTTTTTATTTTTAATATTATTTGTTTAATTGTTTAATTATTATTAATAATTGCTAGTCTACTAAATAAATATATCATATTAGGTAATTATGAAATACCTGCGAATAATATAATTAATGTACAGATATTTAACACTCATAGAGATCCAAAGTTTTGGCCGAATCCGGATAAATTTGATCCGGATAGATTTTTGCCTGAGAATTCC